CACCACCAGTAAGCAACGGGTGAAGTGTCTTGCCCAAGGACACAACGACCGAGACTGTCGGAGCCGGGGCTCGAACCTGCAACCTTCCGATTACAAGACGAACTGTCAACTCCTGAGCCACGATCGCCCCCACTTCTAATTAAAGTGACAAGATATACGTTTTATTAACTTTATAGACACAAATAATGAGAGGCAGAAAGTTTGATTATCTTCAAGCAGACCGAAGTTTGTGCAGACACAAACATGAGCACACCCACTTCACCCATTAACATAGCAGCTTTGATGTTGTAAGAAAGAAAAATATATACATACAGCACTGTGAGAAAGTGTTTTCTGCCTTCCTGATAAATGTGGGATGAGATTTAGAGGTACAGCTGAAGAGGAACAGCTGTAATGAGTCTGTATTATTGTTTAACTTGATTTAAAAAAAAGAATATCTAATTTTATTGCCTTGAACCTCTGAATTTATTATTATTGTATAAACAAGATTTGTCTCTGAGTTCTTTGCATTTCATGCAGTGGTGCTTATGAGTACATGAGGAAAGTCAATACGGTTTGAAGTGTATTATCAGAAAGCGTTTTCACTATAACTACGCACCGACCAAATAAATTCCTTTCAAATTATTAAATATTTTCTAACAGAAGGTTCTTGTTCTTTGAAGTGAAGACTCAGGCCTTCTGGCAAATATGTGATAGTAAAAGTTATTTTGTTATGTCGCCCAAATTCCTGGAGTTTAGTGTTTCACATTTTATTTAATTTATCCAGTGTGTGACCCTGGGCTATCTGTACCAGCGTGGTCCTCCAGTTAAAGAAATTGCTGTGAGATGAAGACCATCAGTTCTCACACTGGCACAGTCAGATATTACTCTGACTCCTTAACAGAGAGCTGCGAGGTTAAAAATGTTTTAATGTAGTGGTCTTGCATGCAAACATTCTTCCGTAGATCATTATTACTTCTTCTATTTACAGCTTTTAGTTGTATAAAGTTTTTTTCTGCTATATTTAAGAGTTTTATTAAATGAAATGAAATTGTTTATTTACTTATTGTTGAAACTGACACCAAAACCCAGGTGCTGATTCAGTGCTAATCTCAATAACTGGGACATGAATCTGTGAGTTTTCGTTTAATGAAGGGCAGGTTTGAGGTTTTTTTGTTTAGTTTTTTTTTCTTCCTCTTAATAACAGAAAGAGACGTTGAAAGCAGGAAGTTCTTTGAAGCAATAGTTAAACTTAAAGCCTTACTGTGAAACGTAAGGCACCAGAAGGAGAAGGTCATAAATAATTCATGGCACACCCTCTCTCGGAGTTCCTCTTTATCTCTGCCATTTTCCCATATCTCGCTCTCTTCCATAAAGGGTCTGGTTCGCCCCCAAGGGTCGAGCAACGGAGGGAGAGTGAGAGAGGAAGGGTGACAGAAGATCATCTCTCTCTCTC